AGCCCTTACGTCCGAGCCAATTGAGAACTTAGGCCACGTAGGAACGGGCAACGTCAGAAATTTGGCGCAACAGGGCGATGCAACACCCATAGAGATATGGAGACACGGAAATATGCGTCGCTAAGCCTCGGAAAAAGCAGCGCTGCCTGGCGGAGCGCCGGCACCTCGGAGCCACCGCTCGAGGTGACAGCATGCGAGCCGGTGGTGATCAGGCAGCTGAACAGGCGCGGCCCGATCGGGATAAACCGCCGAATATACTACAGGCCGAAACATAGCAGCGCGCCATCCATCTACACTTATAGCTGCACCTGGCCGCAAGTGCTTCCCAGAGAAGGCAATCTATTGCTTCCAGAGACCACTGCCGCAGGCAGGCAACGCAGAAGGATGAAGTGGACTATAGAATAAATACCTTCATCATGCGTGAATACTACACGGCATTACCAAAATGGAGACTGGACACTAACCGCCTACGCGACAACAGTTAATGCAAAAGATTTTCTTCCCCGTTTCCTGATTCTGAAGTTAGTGAGCAAAGAATAGCGCGAGCAATTGTCAGAAAAATCTCCTCTCTGCACCAGTTTTGGAAGCAATCAAGGAAGAAGTGAGAAAACATGCTAAACTCTCCGACTCAGAACCTAGTAATCTGAGGGCAGTGGAGTCATCAGCTGTGCAACTCAGGAAGACAATGGCAAACATGTCAGAAAGTATGGATGAATAAGAGTAGAGAAGAGGTGGAAATTCGCCAAATGAATTTGCAGTCGCACTTGCGGAATTTTGAAGGAACTGACACGCTCTGAACCGCTATCTCATCCAGACAAAAATTGCTCCGAAGAAATTAGGCAAGAGCAATCAGCGTCTTGAATGAAGAAAAGTACATGCCACAACATCTACAACAAAGACCATCTCTCGAAGAAGTACACACAGCAATTTTTTGTGCTGCGGTTGGTGGCTTCAAGATGTAAACGTTCTCAAGCTTTTTCAAAGCCGCGAAGCAACTTCCGGCAATGATCGAAAGTGAAAAACGAATGCCACCTTGGGAAAGACGGCTGGTGAATCGTATAAAAGCCTAGGAAAAGATATTGGGAGACTCACACAATTTTAAAATTGGAAATAATCTGCAGAAAAACTGAGAGAAAGGTTGAATAACATTCCTCATCGAATAACAAAAATTATACGAAGCACGAGCCCTGAATCAACATAACAAGAACATCTTGACACCTACGACAAAAGCTTTTGGCGGGGGGGGGGGCTAACAAAAACACCTTGACCTACAGAATTGCACTACGAGGAAGCAACAGAATTCTCTCTTTTAACAGAAACCAGAAAGCATTCTACAGGAATATGTCAAAGGCAAAGGCTTGTAAATGATATGAAGAGTCAAAGCTCCCTCAAAGCACAAATTTAGAGACTTTTGGAAGCCTATCTGGTCACTGCTGTGTGTCCCAACAACCCAGATTATGGACTGTGGATTGAAATGGAAATATGACAGACACCGAGATATCCCTCTAATGTGTGAAACCAATCATCACGTGAAAATTGTCCAAGCAGCTTTGAGCAAAGTACATTAATGAAGGCACGCAGGCAGTGATGGCCTCCACAATTATTGGCTTCAAAAAATT